ATTGGTATTAAAAACTATTTTAAGACCTAAAATTAGACTGTGAATTCTTGCGTATTAACATTTAATAAGCATACCACAATTTTTTTAATGTAAGGACCTACAATTACTTTTATGCCATTCATTTCAGAGCTGAAATCTTTATTTCCCTAAAAATTTGCAACAAGGTATGGCAATACTATATGAATGAGAAAAGGGGCACTTTTAGGGGATAAGGATAGGATGGCAAGAGCTTGAGCCCATCCAACTACCTCCACCTCCCTGTGTAAGCTACTGTGAAGACTATTAGGATTGTTCAGTAGGAACTTCTGATATTATCGAAAAACAGAAGTACTATATGAATTAAGCCGCACGTTGTATCTATTTTTCGAGAATGTTGCCTATTCTCCAGTATTACGTTTTTACAAAAAATGCTCAACCTAAGATACAACATACATAAAGATTTTAACAATGATGAAGCTGATTGGCTGTTTTTGGTATTCACACAAGGGTTGTCTGAACTAGCTATACCTAATTTTGAACTAATAGACTAAAGGGAAAGCAGCGAGTCAAAACACCTAATGACAACTCTTCGGGTCCTCTAAGCGAATAATTGGATTTTGCCATCACTCATGTAATGCACTCATGGCCACGAGATGCGAAGCGCAATTTTGCGGAATTGAGACGCAAACCAAGAATCTTCGGATTCACCTTTTGGCAGGCTATTAACTAAACCACGCTCATTACCGTTAATGAGGACTCATATTGAGGTGGTATGTAATCATATTAATAAATTATTTGGTGCTTTCTTTCTTTCTTTAATTTTGTTCATGATTCACTCACTAGCTTTTGGTCAAAGTTTCAATAATCATCTTTGGGTGTTTCAGTTTTATGAGCAACTGCCATCAATTAATTATTTAAATTCATGATACACATAATTTAGGAGACACTGTCTTGCTCAGTTATTTGAATAACATCCCACGTAATGAGATGATCAGTGAAACAAAAATGTTCAATTAAATTATAGTAGCATTTTGATATTCCCTTTGTTCTAGAATTCAGAAATATTTTTATTCTTCCAATACACTCTAGTATACATTGTCTACAAGAACATGACGTGGAGCTGTTTGAACCAGTCTTTATCAAGGGTTTATGATTGTCCGAAACCTGTTTTGATGTTGTATCGATTAATGCTGACATATAAGGTAAAGTTGTAAACAACTCGTATGCTTGTGGATTATCAGCTGTAACTGAGGGAATTTGGTTGCTTCTGGGTTCTTGTTCTTAAAAAAGTCTGAGTATTTTCTGTTGTTATAATCTTTCTAACAATGTTAGTTCCAAATCTATTAGTTTAACTATTTTATTTTTAGTTTTGTGTTTGTTTTATGTATTTGTCATGCGTAATTTACTTGGTTATGTACACAAGGTTTTTATGATATTTATTGTTATTCTTTTACTCTGTATGGCAGAAAGAATGTTGTGGGTAGTATTTAGTCTGGATCGGTTTTCTTTAAGGTTTGGTGTTCATATTGGTCTATACAAAAACCAATAATCCAGAAAGGATAGAGTCTGTTCACTTTCTACTTCCAGAGAGGACTGTTTTGACTATAGAAGTGGTGATTTAGATACCTTAAAACTGCAAGGCTTTGAATACCTTAACTCGAGAACTGAAAATTGTCATCATTTTTTCTTTTAATTTTCCACAGATTGACTAAAGCCTGACATTCCTAAAATTCATTTTTCGTTGGAAGCATGTGTAGAAGTTAGGCAAAGATGGGGTAGATGTTTCAAGGAGCCTAGTGTAAGTTGATAGGAAGAGTTTGGTCATCTTTCAGCTTTTTCATGGCAGTAATATTAACAGGTGTTTTAGTGAAGTGAAAAAGATATAAAAACTAGTTATTAGTTGTTTTTTGTTTACATATATTTGCAAAAGGTATTCTTTGAAATGTGAATGCGTCTTTTTTGAAAGCATTTTTTTAATGAGAGGTTGAAACTTAAAGAAGATATTTAGCCAAGATATAGGCTAGTTCATTTATTAATCATACTACAGAACGGAGTGGAAAGTCAAATTCCTCTTTAAGTTTTTAAGCCTATCAAAATGGTTACCGAGACATATGTTGTAACTGAACGTATTTGTTCTCTGATCATCGTACCATGTAGGAAGAAATATATAAATGCGTATACAAGAGAATATCTATTCAAACAACAGGAATCAATAAATTTGTATGGATTAAGGAATATAAAAATTCTTTAAGATAGATCTTCAAAAAAATTGAATTTAAGAATATATGAAGTTTGATCATAAAATTTTAACAAGAATAAATCTTTTCTTATTTTCGTCCTTTAATTTATATTTAGATCCCGAAAACGTTAAACTCAATCATATATGAAGTTTGATCATAAAACTTTAACAGGAATGAGCCTTTCTTACATTTCCCATTCTTTTACAATAGTTGACATAATTCTTGACTTCTGTGAAGAGATGGTTGTGTCAATTTTTTTTGTCTGATGTTAGAACTGATATTAAAATAATTTTTGTTTTGTTTGTTTGAAGTTAAGCACAAAGCTACACAATGGGCTATCTGTGCTCTGCCCACCACGGATATCGAAACCCGGATTCTAGCGTTGTAAGTCCGTAGACATACCGCTGTGCTACTGGGGGTGGGGGGCAATAATTTTGTATTGTTGTTTTTATTGCTGTTAATATATGATAATCTGATAAACGAATAATGATGAAACCTGTTGTTATTATATTTAGTAATGTAGCAAGTAATTAAGCTAAAGACTATGATAGTTGTGGTATAACAGTCTGCCAAATCACTAAAGCCTCTTGTTATTTAGGAACCCAAACAATAGCCAAATGAAGTTTGTTGAGATTTTCATACAATAATCTAGCATGCAACTAACGGTGAAAACTACTGTTATATAAAAATCACATGTGAACGCTACTGTGATCGTTATTCTGTATTCAAGCAAATGATTAATTAAGGACGAAGATTGTTGTAATTGTTATATAATAACCTAGTAAATAACTAGCTTAAATACTATTGTAATTATTATAAAATAATACATAAAATACTTAAGAGAAAATATCCAAAGTGAATATTGCTATCACTGTTATATATATATGCCTCCTCCAATGGCCCAGCGGTAAGTTTGAAGGCTTAATACGCTAAAAACCTGGTTTCGATACCCGTAGTGGGCAAAGTATAGATAGCCCATTGTGTACCTTTGGGCTTAACAACAAACAAACAGAAATAGAAATGTTATATATATATAAATATATAATAAACTAAAGACTGTTGTGTTTTTAAAGGAAAAAGCTTAGAAATAACTAGCGTGAATACTGTTGTTATTGTTATATAAGAATCCAAAAAATAATTAAATCGAAGCCTGTCGTGATTTTAACACAGATAATCTAGATAATAACTAAAGATGAAGACTTTTGTGACTGTTACTCAATGATTTGATAAATAGCTAACGGTGAATACTTCTGTGATTGTTGTTCAATGATTTGGCACACAGCTAACGATGAAGATTTCTGTGATTGTTACTTAATTATTTGGAAAACAGTTAATGATGAAGGCTTTTGTGACTGTTCCTTAATGATTTGGCAAACAGCTAATAATGAAGACTTCTGTGACTGTTGCTCAATGATTTGGCAAATAGTTAATGATGGAGACTTCTGTGATTGTTACTTAATTATTTAGCAAACAGCTAATGATGAAGGCTTTTGTGACTGTTACCTAATGATCTGTCAAACAACTAATGATGAATGCAGTTGTTATATAATGTTAGAAAACATCTAATATGAAAATTGTTGGGTAACTACATTAAATGTTATAGTAAATAACTAAAAAGCTAGAAGACGCAATACGCAAAACTGAAAGTATTTGATTTTATAAATGAGTATTTTTTTACCATAAAAATTCATTAATTTCCATGATGCTTTGATCGCTGTTGAATTATTTGAACAATCTTATTCCACAAGAGCTTTTTTAGATTAGAACACATAAAACAACAACAACAAAAATAATAGTAACGTATTATTAAAGTATTTGTGTGTGTATGAGTTTACTTGACATTAATCCTAAATTCAATCAATATCTTCTTATTTTACCCCCCTCCCTCCGGTGGCTTAGCGGTAAGTTTGAGGACTTATAATGCTAGAAATCGGCTTTCAATACTCGCGTTGGGTAGAACACAGCTGTGGTAGCTTTGTGCATAACGATCAAATAACCAAACTAACTTACGTCTAAAAAAGTATAAGAACACTGTTAAGTTACTACGCATATTTCATGAAGTTTTTCATTCGTGAGATGTTATAAATGACATTAGCAAACGTAAAATAGTTTAAAAAACGACAAAATCAAACGAAATTTGTTCTATTTAATGAATGAATAGGCGGAAAATTGATTTAAATTCATGAATCAAGTAAGAAAATTGGTGGATGTTTCGTTTTTGTTAACTTTTAAACATTCAAAGTAAAAATTCTGTAACTTTTACTGGGTGATAAGCAGAGACCTACATAACATCAAAGTTTCGTCAGCTCTCAGATAATGGGTGTAGTGGTCACCTTACTCGTAACTATACTTTTAGGATTTAAAAAAAATCGGATAACAAGTATCCCCACAAGCACTATTAGCTTAAGAAGGTTTTAATAAAAATGTCCCCCGTTGGGACAGCGGTAAGTCTTCGGATTTACAACGCTAAAATCAAGGGTTTGGTTCCCCTCGGTGGACATAGCAGATAGCCCGAAGTGGCTTTGCTATAAGACAAACACGTACACATTTAATAAAAATTTCTCATAATGATAGGCGTAGCTGTACGTGTAAAACAAACTGCATGGTTCAATTTACTTGTGATACTTTTCGTAATATGCACGGAAACCTAACTTCTGAATGACTCACACGGGCGGGAGTACAAGCTCACTTCACGGTCACTATAACATGCACGACATGAAAAGCTAGAAAGGGAGGGGTTCTAAACAGGTTTCAGGGCAAGATTCAGGGGAGGTAAGTTTTGGAGAGCAGGATTCCCTGACTGGGCGCCATGTTAGAAAGGTGTGATACACATAAAGTCACAGTTTTTGTGCTTCTTTCTGCTGTGTGTTGAACAGCTTTTTTAAGGTGTTAATTTGCTGTTTTGTCCAGAATAGTGATTTACACAATTAAGATTGTAAGTCGAATTAGCAGAAGTATATCGTCGAACCTAAAGGTATGTTGTTGGTCTACATATTGTCTCTGCGTTGTAGTTTTACTTCAGTGTTATATACATAGTACCTTGTAAACATAATGCCTATTGTCGGAGCTTGTTAAAATAATAATCGCTTTTTATTTTTCAAATTGTCAAATTATTTTTATACCGTTTACTACCGCTAGGGTGCAACAATGCATCATATTTTGTAATTTTATGTTTTTGCGTATCACAAGATTCAGAATAAAGAACTAACCAAAAACAATTAGATCTAATCACTTACTTTTTTATGTAACATATATAGATGGCCCCAGCAGAAATGAATGGGATTAATTGTAATACGTTATTAGGGACCAAGAAAATCACAGTCTCTCAATGGTTTAGCTGCATGAATAATTTAGAAGAATGTACTTGAAAAGTCGATGGGGTCCCCATCGGTAAATCTGGGTTCAACAATTGGAATACAATTCTTCATTTTTATTTCATTGAATCATTATATATAAGTATAAATAGTAGCTTGTTAAAGTCATGTTTTTCTTGAGAGCCTGCTAAAATAATTGCCGCTCATTTTTTTACTATTTTAATTCGTTTATAATCGATATGTGTTGTTGTAACGTGGTTCTTTCGTTGGATGATTCTTTTTAATTATCTGGTAAAAATAATTAAAAGGCTAGTATACGTAAACGATAACAAATTAATTTATTTCTTCCTTAACGTTTTTATGCCCCCCAGTGGCACAGCGGTATGTCTGCGGACTTACAACGCTAGAATCCGGGTTTCGATACCCGTGGTGGGCACAGATAGCCCATTGTGTAACTTTGTGCTTAATTACAAACAAACCTTAACGTTTTTACAAATTGCCTTCACTGTACACAGTCGTAGGCAACGTTTACAAATGATGGTAAATGTGCTACACTAAAATAAAAAACTTACTTGTACCACTTCACGGCTGAAAACAACAATATAAAACACTGACTAATTCACACTACCGATTAGAAATTACTCTATAATCTTAAAATAACTCTCTATCTTTCTTAAATAACTTTTAAGCTATTCCTCAACTATCTTCTTGATGCTTTGCTGACCCTGTATTTATAATGTGTCCTTGAATGTACTAGAACACCTGACGTCAAACCTTTAAAACTTTTTAGGCCTAATTTAACAGAGGCTTGGAACGGCCACTGCCTTTCTTGCTTTGTATTTAATGACGGTCACTGCAGAAGAAGATTAAGAGATTATGAACATTTACTAATTTTCTTCATAAGCGTATTATAAAACAGCTAGTTCGTGTGTGGTAAGACACTTATTGTCAAATTGTGCTTTAATAAACTTGTTAATAGTAGTTAAAGAGACGCAATGAAAAATATTCCTGTTATTTAATTTTATAGAACTTTGTCTTCCTTGGACTACAATGCCACTTTTTGTTTTTATACAGTTTCACAATTTCTGAAAATTTTTAAAACGTTATTTCATTTATTGTGTTATGATTGATTTTTTTTTACTTAGTTCTTAAAGTTTTGTATTATGTTGTATAGTTTTCTGCAGAATTTGCTTCTATTTTTAGAGTTGTATTCTATTTCTAATAAATTTGCTATGTTTTTTTTTTATATAAAATCTTATTAAGCTCTGATTTTAGTGTTTTACTCTGTTTCATCTTAATGTTTCTTTCTTGTATTCGTTTTTGTTATTAGAGTTGTGTTAGCCTTTGTTTGTAGTTCAACCTTACCCTGTTTTTATCCTGTTCTCTTATGATTTGTTTGTTTTGTTACGTAATATTGTGTTTTCCTAATTTTTAAAATTATATTTTCATTGATCTTGCTTGCTTTTTGAGCTCAGATTTTACATTCTTTTCAGGTTTCGAATTGAACTTTCCATGATGACTCGTCACCAACAGCAAGCTAGTAATAAAAAGCTGATACGGACGTTGGAACTAGCTACTGTGTCTCTTGTTTTTTATGCAAAATTGCTTTTCGTTTTAACTGAGGCGGCAGGTCAGGCTGGTATCTTGCCGTTACATACATCCAACTTCTCATCAGTGTGTCCTGTGGAGTTCCAAGGAAGATGTCGATGTGGTAGGGTACCTTATGGGCCCCATGGGATCTTGACTTACGTTACAAACTGCACGAACACGAATTTTGATGACACACACATGTTACTGAAACTACCCGTTGAAACTGAAGTCCTCATTTTCACTGGTAACTATATTCCTGACCTACCTCTTAACATACTTGGCAAGGTCAAGAAGTATGGACAACTTCATACCATTGACATGTCCAACAATCACATTCAGAGTATCAAGGGAAAGACTTTTCATCATGTGGAATTTGTGAAGAAGTTAGTGCTGAACGACAACGACCTGTATATTGTTAGTAAGGACGTCCATTCTCGTATGTTTAGCAACTTCTACCAACTTGAGGAACTGCATCTGAAGAACGCCTTCACCGAGAAAGTTCGAGTTGATGACTATTTCTACAACCTTGTTACCGTGTTTAAAGATAGTAACCTTAACCATTTGCAAGTTCTCAACTTGGAAGAGAACGAATTTCGCAGCATGCTGAACGAAAACTTCTTTTGTTATATGCGTACACTAATGAAAATATATATGAAGGGAAATCGCATGACTGATTTCCGGCTTAACACAACCTGCCTCCCTCGTTTGGAGATACTTGACCTGAGTGAAAATGAAATACCGTATTTAACCAATCAAACGTTACACCGTTTTGATGCTGTGCCTGGACTGGAAATAAACTTGGCAGGTAATCCGTTTCAGTGTGACTGTTACTTGGTAGACATGTATCGTTGGCTTACCACTACTAAAACTAGAGTGATTAATAAAGAAACTTTTCAGTGCTTTTCTGGGTTTCCGAGAACAAATGCTTGGAAACTAGTAAATCACGTCCCTCTTCATGATCTAAAATGCCCTCTGAAATTATCAGATTTTCAAAATCATATAAGCGCCTCCGTTGTGGTATTGGTGTTGCTAATAATAATCTGTGTTGTGCTGGTGTCTGTACTTACATACAGACACCGACAAGCTATCTATATATTTGCTCGAAGCTGGTTTCAACCATTTAACAGCAAGATGAAATATTCTTCTATGGATAAACGCGATGAAACAGAAATGGAAGTGTGAACACGTTATAACTATTGGCGTGAACTTGAATGAAGTTGCCAGAACATAGACATTTAAACAAACCCTTTAAGTGTGCGAGTAAATTATGGCTTAAAAAACGAACACCTCTGTGTTGAGGATCTACTGGTTGAGAAGCTAAACAAAATGTATGCATAGCAATTTTCTGAAGCTTATAACATCGTATATGCTTTAATAAACAGCGGTAATAAGCAAGCTTGAACATTTAAAAATTGATAGATCGTACGAATCTTTTTAAAATACGCAGATACTTTCATTAGCAAAAAGAAAAAAATGTTTGTCTGTTTTGTATGTTGCTGTGGGAGGGTACACAAAAACGCATGGTAATAAATGTGTATCCATCTCAACCGGTATGTACCAAGCAGCTGCTTAAAGTTTAAAACAATAACTTACTTTTAGGTACGCTGGTAATGATTTGAGCCTGAATTCAGCATCTCCGAACTTGCTGAGCTCATAACTGTCAGGGCCACTAAACGTATTTGTTTTAAAATAGTATTTACACTACACATCTCTGCTTTTGTGTCAAAATCAAACGACTCTTCTGCCTGTAACCCGTGTGGCCTTAATACCCTATTTCAAGAGATGAATAAGGTTTCTCGTCTTTGTTTGAGCAGTGTTGTAAATTATTTGTGTTATTCATTTAATTGTATCCCCTTCGTTGAAAATCAAGCTAATAAAAAGAAGGAAAAAAAAGAAAACGAATCTTGTATTGGAAGGTGTGGCATGATACCAGATTTAGTTAATAAATAATTTATTTACGGATAAATTGATGACAGCAGTGGGAAATTGAGAGTATGAATTCGACGTAAATGGTACAAACACAATATAAAATTTAAAAAAAGTATTAAATACACATTGTTTGAAGATGATTAAGGTTCTAAAAATGTTTTAATCTCACACAAAGATGAACGTCTGCCTGTATACAAAAATTCATTATATTCGGGTAAATGATTTTAGTGATATAATTGTATTATATCACGTTATACATATTACATATAGGACTAGAGTACAATATTTGCAATACTTACTACGCTTTACGTTTAGGAAACAACTTAAAAAAAGAGGTGAGGTGTAATATGAGGACATTCACCTGCGAATACGCTTACTCATCCTAAAAATATAGACCACTACGTATGCAGGAGAAGGGGGGTTCGGCCGAACTCCCTATTTTTGTGAAAATTTACGCTTATATAGTTATAGCGCAGCCGCTTATGGTATTTATCGTTTTCTACATAGTCTACAGTCTTCTGATGAGCCATTAGTATTTTTTGCTTGAAATAGTCGCGTGCAATGGCTTCTGTTGACACTTTGTAATTGTAAGCCGAAGTCGTATTTCTATTGTCAGGTTTTGTAGGCCAAATGCTTAGCAGTATGTTGGCGATAAATTTCAACAACAAACAAATAGCAACAGAAGGACTAGTACAGCTTTGTTCATTACTTGCTGAATACTGCTGATACATATAGTAAGACTCATTCTGCATTTTGCGTAGTACCCTTGATATATATAGTACTGTAGAACCAACTCCTACTTGTTCAATATTTTTATACATGTCATCGAATTAAATCCACTACTTGCTCAATACTTTTGAAACATCTAGAAGTACTCATCTCACTATTTGTATAATAGGTTTGATAAACAGAATTAAAACTCGGTACACTACTTTTGTTGAATATGTTTGTTAGATATACATGGCTATTTAACTTAATGCGAGTGTTATCATTCAAATGGTTTATAGCACGAATGTTAAATTTAGTTATTTTTAAAAGCGATAATTTATCGCAGGTTTGTTTACGTAACTGTGTACGAATCATACGATGTATAGTTCAATAGTTATGAATTGGTGATTGTTGTATTGTTACTAAAAACTTCTAAGTTTCTCTCGTTTTTTACAATTGAGTATTATTGCGTAATATCACATAGTGTGTGGAACATTCTAAGCCTCTGTCAGTCTACAAATACGCGTACAAAATGTAGTTCAAGTTTGTAAGACATAGATAGATCTAGGCTGTGTAATTGTGTGTTTAGACGTAATAAGCATATAGTGGCGATGACAAAGTGGAATTATCACAGGTTGTGTTGTAATAACAGAGCAGAGAAGAATAATTCGTCTGGTCAGTTTTGTTCTAAAGTAACTGAATCAGCCTGTGTGGACTTTTGACGAAAAAGAGAATTATTTAAACTCTAGATTTAACTGTAGTAAACAATAGTATAATGAACATTTTACATACATTTGACTTGTTTTAATGCATTACTTTAAGACAAGTGGACTGTGTGCTGTTCGTTTATTGTTAAGATTTATCGCCAACAAGTCAAAGACATCTACTGTAAAGAATCCTGTCCATACATAAAACCTGACAGTGTTTGATACATTATTTGAAGTTAGTCTGGCATTTACCGAACTCCCTTAATATCTATTTGCTCATAACATTTGATAAATTATAACGGAGGCCATTATTTCTGAATAGTTTTGACCCAACAGAATCAGCTCACTAGTTACTCAATATGTTTGATGACGTTTGCTCAATAGTTTGATGTATAAAGCAAAAGTCAGCCCATTATTTGATCAATACTTATGATCCAGCTCAGTTCATTGTCTGCTTAATAAATTTGATCCACATGGAACTCAGCTACTACGCACTTGTTGAATAATTCTGACTAACTTCCACATTTATTTCATAGGAAAAACTATGAGTAAACACTTTTAGTACAACTTCGAACTTTCATACATAATCAAATAAGTTGTCCCCAATGAAATTCAAACTTTTGAATAAATATAAATTCAGGACCACTTACTACAATATACAGACTACCCAGATAATTCTTTTTTAATGAGGCACTCTCCATATTACTTTATCCTATGTATTTATAATACATACAAGGCACAAAGTCACTATGGATATCAATAAGCCAAGCAATATCTAATAAAATGTATAATCAAGAGTATCACCGAGAGACAAAATTAGTTCAACAATACTCAATAAAGAGGCATAACTAAAAACATTACTGATAGACAAAATTAGTTCAACAATACTCAATAAAGAGGCATAACTAAAAATATTACTAATAGACAACATTAGTTCAACAATACTCAATAAAGAAGCATAACTAAAAATATTACTGAGAGACAACTTACTTCAACAATACTCAATAAAGAGGCATAACTAAAAATATTACTGTTTGTTTGGAATTTCGTGCAAAGCTACACGAGGGTTATCCGCACTAGCCGCCCCTAATTTAGCAGTGTAAAACTAGAGGGAAGGTAGCTAGTCATCACCACCTGCCGCCAACTCTTGGGCTACTCTTTTACCAACAAATAGTGGGATTGACCGTCACCTTATAACGTCCCCACGGCTGAAAGGGCAAGCATGTTTGGTGGGACAGGGATTCGAATCCGCGACCCTCAGATTGCGAGTCGAGCGCCCTAACCACCAGGCCAGAACAATTAAAGTTTTGGGCATTTTTAGTCTTGCATCACTTCATTTTAGTCCTTTATTGTTGTTGCATTTATTTGAGGTGGTTGATTTGTATCCTACCAAACGGGATACTTTTGATAGACCATTTATCCTGTTCCTGTGCAGGAGGTTCTACTAAAAAAGCCTCTCTGCACCTTCATATCTTAATTTTATTTTATTGACAGAAGATCCATGGGTAATCTTTTATGTTTTTACATTATTTGGGTTGGTACTATGCTTCACCAAAAAAAGTAGATAACATGCAAAAACATATATTAGGTCGTCAAATAATTAATTTCGCATTTTGGAACACTTTCATTAACCACCCCAAAAAAACGTACATCACTATCATAGTTAAACGAACTGCCTAAACGTCACGTTAGTGTAGCCTATATAATGTGTAAAGTTTAGTATAATCTAATCCCTTGTAGTGATGGCACACGACGAGACATACATTCGGCATGTAATGCTGTTTGAATACAACAATGGAAACAACGCCTCTGTAGTCACAAAGAATATCAAAGAAGTTTATAGAAATGTTTTGAGCGTTCGTAAATGTCAGCGATGGTTCAGTAAATTTCGTTCAGATAACTTTAGCCTTAAAAACTGTGATGGCAAGGGCTGATATGTTGGAATTGATATTGATGCTCAGAAGACTCTTGTTGAGTCTAACTCAAGGCAACACACTAGAGAAATGGCCCTGAAATTGCATGTCTCTCATGAAATAATACATAAATGTCTAAAATGGATAAACTCCATACAAAAAGGTGTTTGGGTGCCTCGAACTCTCCGATGATCATCGTTTCCAACGTGTGAACGTTGCTTCGTCTCTTCTGGCGCGTAATGCACGTGAACTATTTTTGGACAGAATTGTCACCTATGATGAAAAATGGATTTTCTATTCGAATATTAAACGCCAAAAATAATGGCTCAGTTCTAGACAAAAACTACTTCCGACCCCAAAACCTGGACTCTATCCACAGAAAGTGATGCTTCCATTTGTTGGGTGGGCCCGGCATGGCCAGGTGGTTAGGGCACTTGACTCGCAATCTGCAGGGTCGCGGGTTCGAATCCCCGTCCCACCAAACATGCTCGCCCTTTCAGCCGTGGGGGCGTTATAAGGTGACGGTCAATCCCACTATTTCGTTGGTAAAAGAGTAGCCCAAGAGTTGGCGGTGATGACTAGCTGCCTTCCCTCTAGTCTTTCACTGCTAAATTAGGG